CTCGTGGGGTTCAGGGGCAACTCACCCGACGGGGATTGCCCCTGAAAGGAAATGTTATTTGAGAAAGAAAAAAACGGAAGACTTGTATCCAAAACCATCGAGAATTGAAAAAAAAAAAAAAACCCTCTGTCACGGAGACATGGTGTTTCCTTGCGGAGACACCATGTCTCCATGACACACGGAGAAAATCCTTCAAATTTCATCAAATGCACCAATAAAGAACATATTCGTAAAGATATAGAGATAAAGAAACAAAGAAAAATCGATACACTCACAACACAATTTTTGAAGTAACCCTACATAAAATGAAAAGGAAACCCACAACTTATTCATACTCAAACCAAACACAAATCCCATCGAAGATTATTCAGCCCACAAAGAGTACACATACAAATGCGGCGAAAACCTAAGATTGACTATCACTACAAAGGATAATCTTACAAGATTCATCCAAATGCAATAAGAATGTAAGATTAAATGTGTAAAGATTTATTATCACTCCAAAGGAAAATCCTTCAAGATTCATCAAAATACAATAAGAATAAAATACTAAAGACAGAGGAATTTTACAAACAACAGAGAAATATTATCACTCTAGTACACAATTGTTGAAATAACCATACATTAAATAAAAAGAAAACACACATCTTGGAAAAATAAACTGAAATATCAATTCTTATATACTTTGTTTGAACATTCTAATGAAAGGGGGAAAAGAGAAACAAAAAGTATAGGAATAATATAATGATACAAAGAAATAGGGAAAAACAAATTTAATCAAACCGACTGTTTGGTTGCTCCCTTCTTCAAATCATTTCTTTAACTCACCCAATGTAGCATCCAATAAGTATACCAAAAGAACATGTAATTGAAAAGAATTAATATAAATGAATGTAGAGAAAGGGGTAGAAGGAAAGAAATCAAACCTTCAAGAATATAGAGCGAATGACAAAGAATCTGCACCGACGCTCATTTTCGTGTGATTCTTGGCGGTAGTATTGCTAGGGTTTCGGGAACTAAAATCTAGACAATGGCTGGAGGAATTAAGGGGTTTTGGGGCATGAAATTTGGGAAATAAAAAAGAGGGTGAAGAAAGGATAGAAAGTATGGTGTAGTTGCGTGTGAAAAATGGAGAAATGTTGCGTGAAGTGAAAAAAAAAGAATTATGTCGACGATAGGAAATCGCAACACTTGGCGTGCCAAGTTTTTGCCTCTTTTATTTTATAGTGATACCGTGGAAAAGAACAAGTGTGGAATAAAGTTTTCCTCGAGGCCTACTTTTCATCCACAAACCAAATAAAGAATTATAGTAAATTAAAAGTAAGTCGATATTCTATTACTCACAAAAAAAAAAAAAACCAATTTGATTACTGGAAATGCAAAGGCCAAGAAAAAGCCTAAAGGGGATAATAGAGTATTTAATTTTCTGATTCGCAACAAATTCGATAAAAATATTTAATAATTACCATATTCAAGATCAAAACACTAACTTTAAAATCCAACCAATTATGCAAATTTACGGAAGGAAAC